TGAGCAGACAAACCCTTTGTGCATTTCCCTGGTGTTCTTTGCCGTTCTACATGTTGTCACAAAGGTCTGGAAGAGACTTGTGCAACCTTATGCGTCATTTCCATGGTGTTTGGCATCTATCATTGACCCACGATTGGATGAACAGGAACGCAGCGCCCAATGTGTTGCTTTCAAGGCCACCAAAGGATGCTGCTTAGATCCTGGGTTTAGCGCCCGCCTTCAAGCTAAGCTGACAGAACCCAAGCTGCTACTTCCCGGAAACACTTTGAGTCCAGCACTGAACCTTTTGTCGCATCAGAAGGTTCTCAATGCTGAAATTGAAGACAACTTTGCGCGCGCTGCGTCTATGGCAAAATGCAGCAGAGGACAGTGGAGCGTTGGATTGTTATGATCAACAAGTTTGTAGTATGAAACTTGATGTTATCGGAATCAGAAACATCTCAACAATTGACTCAGTTGTGCATTGCATCCAATCATATGACATCAAGTCAGCAATATGTTGCGGTGGGAGCTAGATACAGTAGTATAGTAATTATTAATTATAGTCTAGTTATAGTCTAGTCGTATTTTATGGCTAAGACTAATTCAAGCGAAATTGTTTTCACTGCAGGAAAGCCCGTGAATCTTTCGACCAACTGCAGCAAACATATACTTGTGGAAGCCAAGCATGCTCATGTGGCGCATGTTGGGAGCGTGGCTTTCAAGGAGAAGGCATCAGTTGCGAAACGCCACCCTGAGCTGCATACTATTGGCTGTATCCAGCCCCCACACTGGGACCATAGCCTATTCAAGGACATGCTCCAATCTGTTCCGGCAAGCAGCTTGGAAGAAGATAAGGAAGAAGATAAGGAAAACCAATGCTTGGAGGATGCTCACAGTGCCAATGTCTTGTCCAACATAGAGAAGCAGCTAGATCGCCTGGAGCTACAGGAACAGCTTGCGCTGCCAAAAAAGCCCAGCAGGGCACGGGAAACAGGTGAGATCAAAAATCAATTGAAGCAGCTCTCAGCTTCTCTTCAAGATGAGCTACAGCCGGAGAAGAGGAAACCCAGGGGAAATTGTGGGTTCTTCCAGCATTTGAGCAACACAAGAGCTACTTTGCCAAGAATGCCCGGAGAGTCAAAGGCAGACTTCCAGACGAGAGCTAGAGAGGAAGCAAGAAAAAACATGGAAAGTCTCTTGCATTCCTTCAATACGGTTTCTTTTGGTTGATGTTTCATTCTAATTAGCCCTCACATAATGATACTACTTTTTACTACTAATCGATTAGATTACTACTGTTCATTACCACATGGCCACATTACAGTGTTGGCAATGATCAATTCTTAGATGCTTTAGGCCGTTGGCAGTAGGCATTTGTAAAGTCTGGTCATCAAATGTTCTGTAAAGCCCATTTCAGGGTCTGTGCGTTGCTGAGTAGTCTTGCATCGTACTTACCAACGCATGACAACTAGATTTCTGTGAATATATATATTATATATATATTTATGTGAATCGAGTGGCATGACATATGATGAGAATATATGCTGCGCTACACCTGGTCAGAGCATACAGTAAAAGATTCACAACCACACTTGTGTTTCTGTGTTTCTGATACTACCTTGCTGTCTCAGGAGAATCCAGAGGTGCAAGACCAGTGCAAAAATGCAATGGCAATGGCAATGCCAAGTAGACCCTCCCCAGCAGTTGCATCGGAACTACCGAAGGATGGCTGGGGTCTATGCGGAACTGGTGATCTAAGTCGCCCAGTTGCTCTATCTTTGTTTGAGCCTATTGCAGCGCAGCTGGACTTTGTCATGAAGAGTCATCAAATGTGGGTGTCCAAACACTCTGAAGTTCTTGGTTCAGTCCGCGCTGATCTACCAGAAAGGAAGCAGACTAGGCAGTGTCATGGATTGTGCTGGAACTCCCAGCAAACTGGACATCTCACTGATTTTGAGGTCAAGCACTCTTCGACAAAGAATTTGCTGCTGAATATTTGCAGGAGCATGAAGCCTTTGTACAAACAGATCGATAAGCAAATTCAGCATTCTTCTCAGCATCCGCTTTTGCTTGTGAGATCAATGGGCAGTGATGGTCAGGTGCTTGGATACGCTGGATGGATCTTGACACTCGCTTCGTTCAAGCCATTGCAAGCTGATGGAATTGAGTTGAGTTTGCCTCCTGTTCTTGACTGTCCATGTGAACTAGAAGTGAAGACAGCGACAGTTTGGAAATCATCGCGGAGATCATTCAGCTTTGCCACAATGGACAGGATCATGTTTGAAATTGTCAGCTTGAGCGGAGCCTATGCTTTCAGACCTGGCTTCATTGAGTATTGCTTTGCCCCTGCATATTGTGTCCTATGGCCAAATACACTGACCAAATTGAAGCTCAAGTCTGTATCGTGGGTCCCCATAGTCTATGCGGAGCCGGAAGACAACGACAATGATGATGATGATGACGCTGATGAGGACGGTGACCAGAAGACAATAGAGGAGAAACAGGAGGAGACCGATGAATTAGACGAGTTGCAGGACTTAGTTGCAGGGCTTCTTTCCACAGAGGAACCACAGCGGAAGTCTAGGCCCAAGGCTGCTCCAAAGGGAAATCCCAAGAAAAGGGCCGCTGTGTCAGCGCAACATTCCGAGCAGCCCAAGCAGAAGACACGCAAGACCGAGAAGTCTAAGACCCGTTCAGGCTTGAAGTTCAGTGAGTTCGGGATTTTGGAATGTAACTGTAAATGGAGATGTATGCAATGCAACTGTGTAACCGGTTTGTGGGCTTGTGAAATTCACCATTCGGTTTATTAGGGTCTAAAAAAATGTAACTTTGATAACGTATTAATAATACGGATACGGATAAACCTTGTGACAGATACTGTCAATGATCCGGATCCTGAACTCACTGAACTTCAAGCTGAGTGGCTACTTGCTCGAGGACGTCAGCTTGGGCACATTTCAGCATTTTCATTTGACGTGCAAGCCACTCCACCTGAATGCAGAGCAGCTACATCATCGACTTCTGAGGTGTGTTGGTGGGAAAAGTGTTTTGCTGTGGGTAGCTAGATGATTGATGTGATCTAAATACAATAAGACAATAAGGTTGAAACGACATTGATTTTAAGAACCAAACATGATGTATAGGCTAGGCGCAAAATGACTCGATTGACACTTGCCAATGTTGCTGTGTCACTACGCATGTGTGCAGGGTGTGTCTTGTGCTAGGCAGCGCCTTCCGAACGTGCGTCTGCATCTGCATCAGCGTCATGCCCAGAGGCAAAGCCATCAGAACCATACTACATGGATGAGGACGGGTATGTATATCAGAGAGAAGGAAACGTTTATCTTGGCACCCGAGTTCCAATTGGAAGCTTTGTTTCCGGTATGTTATGTTCTAGTTATTCTAGTTAGGTAGCAGTCACGTCACAGTCACAGGGAACAGTGTCCATCGCTAAGGCAGGATCACAGAGATTTGCAAAGGCTCCAATCGTTCTATTGCAGTCCGATGCCAATATCACGGCTGCAGCCTACTCAAGACGGCTCGTGCTTTTGTTCCCGACGGCAACCTCACCATGGACATGTTGATGCATTGGCTCTATATTGGACGCACTCAGGCACCAAGACGCTCAGATCAAGCTGGTCATAAACGACTGTTCCATGCAGCTTGGAGTGATAATAGGATGGAGCTTAGGATGACAAGTTGATAAGGTGCGGTGGCAAGTCGTTGTCTGAGGTGGTGGCAGCGTGAGTGGACTGATTGCCTGAGGGTAAATTCATGAATTCAGAAAGTGAGTCATGTCATGAATCATGAAAGTGATTCTGGACTAGTGGCTGGCAAGAGGCAGCCCTAAAGGGAGTGAAAGAGGTGGGGCTGTGAGGACAAAGGACCCTTGCCCGCATTTGTGCCAGTCGATTCTGCCTCATCGATGGCTATTGGAAGACTTAGGTCAGTGTCTGGGTCATCAAGAGTAGTGCATCGCTTGGTCCTGGTCAAGGTGTCGCTCGTACATTGTTCACACGTTGCTCGTGCATCGGGCACATGTCGCTCGAACATCGCACACTTTTGAGACGTACAGAAATAAGGCCGATTTACAAACCTTATTTTTTTATATTCCTTATTTATTTAATAAGGATGTGCAGATTTAGGGTTGGATAATCAGACCTTAAATATGTACGAGCCAAAAGTGTACATGGTGTGTGCGAGTGTACGAGCGAGGTGTGTACGAGTGTGCGAACGCACGTGCAAGGTGTGCACGAGCAAACATACGGGGTGTGTGTGTGGGGAACCATCGCTGAACAATTTGCAGCGTTTGAGCCAAGAACAATTTGCTTGATCACTGATCACTCTCGCCGAGATCGCTTTTGCTTTCCATCATGTCAGCCGTTGCACCAGAACCACCATCTGGCTGGGCGATGCCTCTCGGTTACATAGCCTTGAGGTGTCAGTTTTGCGGATGTTGGACGCTGGACAAGATGCCGTGGACTCCAAAAGACACCAGCAGGGATCGGTGGTGGCCTTTAATGCCGTGGCACTATGGAACACGAGATTCCCCGAAAGGTCTTACCTGCTTGCTTTGCGCCAATGTGGCCTGAATGCAAGTAGATTTAGCAAAGTTTGTTTCCATATGAATTCATATGAATCTGAATGAATCAATGAAATAGTTATTTGCTGTCTCTGAATGTGTTCCAGTGTCGTAGCCATTACTGCATTTCCCCTTCAGGTACATACCGCTGGAGGTTGGGATCTCGAGATAGGGCCTCTCAAGAAGTGTGCTTGTGTCTTTGCCACTCAGCCTACTCGGCTGCATGCGTAGCTGGTTTCCAGTTCAGTCAGAGGTTGCTATTCTTTTCCTTTGAGACCATGTGTGTTGTCTCTAGTCGAATCATTGCTTCCAAATCATTCCGTGCCATACAATAAGGTGGATGAGGCAACGCGAGGTTCTCATCCAAAAGCGTTGCGAGAATCCTTGCTGCAGAATCAGAGGTACTGACCAACTTGGTCCACGTGAATATGTTGAGGCAACCACATCCAACACAGAGAAGCTCACCAACTCCCTGCAATTCTTTGTGGAGGTCGCTTCGTACTTCAAGATGACAAATCAGCAGCCAGCAGATGCTGACATGGTTACCAAAGTCTTCCATGAGGTGCCTTTGATTGGAGTCACTTGGTACAATGGTGACGCTGAATTTTGCTTATCCTGATTTGTATAAAGTTGGAGCTCTGTATGATATAGTACGACTCAATTCAAGTGTGATATGATATGATGTGATATGCTGTTACTTTACATTCAAACGTTCAGAAATCATTCATTTGTTCTGCTGATGCAGTTGTGCAGGTCGTGGTGGTGGGCCGGCGATGGCTCATGGCTTGGGAGGATGGCATGCAGGGTGTATACCGCTTGGAGGGACAAACATCATCTTCAGTGGTGCGTTCTCATGTCCTTCATGACAGTACCGATACTTGCCCAGCTTTGATAGACAATCTTGGGGAGAAGACAGCCAAGTTCACGACCGACCTCATCATGAAGCAACAGGGAAGCTCTCGCACTGTCTTCAATGAACCAAGCATGAGCAAAGCGTCATCCTTCTTGGCCATCACAAACAACCTGGATAGTCTTCTTGGTGATGGACCTGTACAAGAGAAAGCATCTTCTCCGGCGCCAGTGCCTGAGCCTGTGCCAGCCACACACACAGCTCCTTCTTCCAAAGATGAGGCTGATGAGTGCATTCATCCAACGTCCCGTTTTGATGCCCTTCGATCCCAAGTGGCATCACCCAAGAAGGCGACAGCCAAGCCAAAGGCTAAATCCAAGGCCAAGACAGAGCCAAAGCCAACAGATGATAAGCCTCCTGCCAAGAGGGCCAAGAAGACGGATCAGGAGTCACGTGTGAGGGATATGAATCCTGATTCGATCGCCTCGTCAACTAACAAGCACACCAGTGCAGCAATGGGGCAGCAAGACCAGGCCTGGTACGCAAGCACCAAGGATGAGTTGGTTTCCCTTCTAGACTGCAGTGCAATGAAGTCCGCTGAGAATGATTTCAAGGCAGATGCAGGTGCCAAGACCAAGGATGCCAATAGTCTTCTTGGCAAAGTGAGAGGCAAGAAGCGGGTAGTGAAGCGACGGAGCAAAGAAAACCAGGCAGACTTTATGCCTTTGTTGGATGAGGCTGAATCCGTGCTGTGCACCTTCCTTGTGGTCCTGAAGGCTGTGACTCGTGGGGCAGGACCTTCTGGAGACGAGCTTCCTGCCAAGATTCAATCCCTCGTTTCATTTGGAGCAGTTCCAGGTCTGGAGCTGATGAAACGGATTGGAAAGCATATGTGGAGCGATGACCTCCGGTTCATGCGTTGGGATGCTATGGTGGGCTCCACGTTGAAGTTTGTCAGGGACACGATTGACCGGGATGACTTTGATCCAGAGCCCTTGATCAAACAGCAAATGAATGTCATTTTGCAGAAGCTTCTGAAAGGAATTCCGGCTGACAAAGTCCCTTGGCTTTTCTAAATGGTAATGAGTTGAGTGTATTCTTTATCTCAAATATGTTCGATTATATAAATGATGATGATTTTTTCTGATGATGATGATGTTATTAATGATACCAGTACCGTTAAATACACTAGTGCTACTACATACTACATCATTTGATTGAAATTAAAACAGGCGCTCCCACTACTAATGCTGCTACTACTGCTACCATTTGCCAATCACTGTTCTCAGGTCACTATTGAGTCCTCAAGTGATGAGATGCATCCATTGAGAGGCTTCCTGGAGTGCATGTCAACAAAGTTTGCCAGGCCTGGCAGCGGTTTGGATGCCTATTCAACGCAGAAGGACTTTGGTTTGCTGAGCTTGGTGGCAAACGGTGCCTCATCTAGCCCCGAAGATGTGCATGAGGCTGTGAACACTATCAAAACCCAGGGGAAGGGAGACCGCAGTGTTCTTGCCTCATTTAACGCCTTGCCTCAAGGGAAGAAATTGATCGCGCAGTGTGAAGAGAAAGCTGAGACACAAGTTCACTCCAAAAAGATTTGCCATGAGTTCCAGAAGGTGGTGTCAGAGTCAGAGACTCTGCAATCCGCTCTTGATGGGTGCACAACAGAGCATGGCATGAAGGGAGTCACATCGTTGACTTCAAGCTTCAAAGCGGCGGCTACAGCCTCCTCTGCGGTGGGTGAAGAAGAAGACGAAGCAGTGAAGAAGGTACGTGAGTCTGCCAAGAATGCATTGCTCGCCTATGCCAAAAGTCTTGTTCAACACCACTGCAAGAGGGAGTTGGAACCATGGTTGGACACCCAGTGCAAGACGCTATCTGGATCCAAGCTTATGTCTCAGCCACCTGGCTTTGCAATTCTGAATCTGCAATCGCTGTTGCAGAAGACCTTAGGCGAGACTCTTGTTGGGCTAGATGACCTTGACAGATTCTACAAGGCATGTTCAGAGCTTGGTAAGATCACAGACTGCGTGTTGAGGACATCATCAACTGATGCAGTGGAATATCGTGAACAGACAGTGAAGCTGTGCCAGTCATTCAGTGGTTTCACCACTGCAAGTAGCAAGCTGACCTGCTCTATTCCAGATCTGTTCAAGCCTCTCGAGAAGCTTTCCACTTGTGCAAATCAGCTAGTGAATCAGGCTTGCTCTGATGTATGGAGAGAGTCAATCTCCTTGCCACTCAGCTTTGTCACAGCGGCCCTTCTCCCAGAAAAGGAGCTTCTAACCCCGCTTGAGGGACAGGAGCGCGATGCCTACTTTGAGAAGGCGGCTTCTATGATGGGAGATGCAAAGCTCTTGGTGACTGGAATGGCAAACACCGCTGACGGTGTGCGCTCGGCGCTTGAACAGGCAGCTATCCTCCTGGACCACGTGGTGGACCACTACTCGCTCATTGTGAAGAACAAGGTAGATGCCGCTACTCGTTCCATGTTTGAAATGCTCAAAAAGTTGCAGTTGATCGGCGAGAACAGCGTGATGTGGGTGAAGTTCGTTATTCCAGCTGATCGGCTAAAGACTTTTGGCTCATAAGAAATTGTATTATGTATTCAGAATGTTCAATGTCTGTATTCTATTTTCCTTTTCATATCCATAGGTCCATATCATATCATATATCGAATCATATTGTGTGGTTGGGCTCCTCTGAAGAGAAAGGACTGTGAGCAGCAGCATCTATGGTGTTCTTTGGCCAACCAATGGCAGTGAGACCGCAGGCGTTACAGAGGGGTCACTTCAGGAGTTCCTGGACTCTCGGAATAATTAGACCTGGACCTGGACCTGGACTGGAAGATGTCTAGTATAATATGCAGCGTACAGCGAATGATGCAATGATGACTAGTCAGACTCATGTTATGTGAAAACCAAATTGAAGCATTCATCGACATTCTCAGGAGAAAAAGGCTTCAGATGTGAATGAAGCCTTCATCGACTGCGGGAAGAGGGCCACTGACGCAATCCTTGAGAATATGCATGCAGCTCAGGCTCTTGAGCCTTTCCCGTCCTATGTGGAAGATGGAGATGATGCGGTGTTTGTTTCTGCTATGCAGGAAAACGGCAGGCTCAACAAACTTAGCCAGATTGTCAAAGCTCTTGAGGCAAACCTGGCTTCCGCAGATGACACCGCTAAGAGCCTCATGGTTCCAATTGAGCGGGTCGTGCCTGCCTATGATCAGGCAAAGATAGACATCAAGAGATTCCTCACAGTCTGCACACTGACCACTTGCCTGCGGATTCTTCAAAGCAAAGCAGCCAAAAGCCGCGACCAACATTTGAAGGAGTCTGTCGATGCAACCTTGCAGTTCTGCGCTGACCTTGATGTTCCTCAGTCAGTGGTCAGGCGGATGCAGGACCTAAGCAAAGCAATCGCGTCAGCCAGTAAAGCGGACAAGAGATCTCGATCCCCAAAGAGGAAGATGTGAATGACTTGGATTTTGAATCGACGTGGTGCTAGGGCACACGCCGCACTGTTTTCCTGCCTGGTATCACCACTAACCCACTAACCCACTACATCACTTCACATTTCTGTGTTGTTTGAAAGGTTTGCCAGGTGGGGTTATGCTTAGCATTGCCCATGTCTGAAACATAGACACTTAGAGAGCGGCATTGCAATACTTCTCAAGAAACTAAAGCAATTGCTGGCTAGGGGACCAAATGCCGGCCGAGCAAGCATTGCGGAAAACATTGCCAGCTGAATCCTTCCTCCCTTGTTATGTTGTTTCTTTCGGTAGGGTAGTACTGTTGAGTCATTGCCGCAACATCGCGTAGTACTTATTCCTCAAGGTAGACTGAGGCAGACTTTCTGTCATGGAGGACAGCCGACCAGGTAAAGTCCGGAAGACAGCACAAGGCCTGGGACTTCTCAAAGCACATAGCTTCAAGTCCATGGAAGAATGGAAGAAAAAGGTCCTGGCAGAGTCTTGGGCTACATACACCAGCCGCTCAGACGCTTGGATGCAAAAGCAGTGGCAAAGGGTTCAATGGGCTCTGAAGCATCCTGATGTGGGGCGCTTTCAACAGGAATCCACGATCCCAGCAAAGAAAACCTGGTGGGCCTATCAGCCAAAGGAGACTGCTGACAAGTTTGAGCTTTGGTTGAAGACTCATGGCCTGCCTTTGGTACCCAATGAGGAGACAAACACGATCCCGCCAACGCAAGAGCTCTCTCATGCCAAGATGGTCAAGATGGAGTCGGGACAGCCACCTGATGCGAAGATGGAATCAAGAGACCCTTCTGACACCAAGATGGAATCAGGACAGCCATCTGATGCCAAGATGGAAGCAGAACA